AAGATGTTGAATCTATTTAATATTTCTTGAAAAATAATTGATTTCTGTGCATTTTTTTTCACACTGCATCAAATTAAGGTTGATTACGTCGATTAAGCATCATGAGGTGGAGCGTGAGGGGTGGTTCCCTATTTTTTATTTATTTATTTTTGTTGTTGCTGGGAGTTGGAACCCTATTAGTTAGGTTGCTTAATATTTACGCTAAGTACTCTTTAAAATACCAGAATAGGGAGGATGGTGTAGGTTTAAGTTTATTAGATTGATCAGTATTGCTGAACTATGAAATATTTTTTTTGTGCATACAGGTATAACAGAATAGCTTTAGTGTAGTTGTTGTTTTAAACTTGAGTATGAACTTCAGATGACAAAATGCAGCAAGATATTTTAAAAAACAGTTTTGTTGATTAAAAAACACTATATCGGATTCATATCGGTATCGGCAGATATCCAAATTTATGATATCGGTATCGGACGGAATAAAAAAGTGGTATCGTGCCATCTCTAAACCAAACCATTAGAAAAAGCAACAATGTTCCACTTTCTGAACCTGCAAGTGTTCAGTGGGTTCAAGTCAGATGACTTTCATCATTAAAGGGTGAACATGAGGTTTCTTAAAATGTCATACAACAAAATTTGTTAAGAAATCTCTGTGTGTCCTTCTGTAGCCGACACAGCACTCCAAGAGCACTAGTTATTATAAATTACCATTCAGTAGTTTGATTCAATATAGCAGCAACCTGATATTTTAGCTATTTGTGTTTATCTTATTGAGCAGCAATTAGAGTGTAAGGGCAAATACACACAGGAAGAAACTAACACCAGAAATTTCAATGTTCAAACGGACGACTTGAAGTGATGATTACTCATGACCGATCCCCACTGACAGCAGCAAACTGCTGTATACTTGGACAGGGCTCAACTTTTTCCCTTAATACAGACAACACTATTTCTCAGTCTTATTTTAGACAAACACTAAATATGAATGCAAAATGTTACATGTGCCTTTTGTTTCTGTTACTTGGTAGATACTGTAGCTATATTTATTTTATGAATGGAAAACATCACAACATTAGTAGATTAATATGTAACATCAGTCAACCAGTCATGGTCCACCTGAAAGCGAGAACAAGGTGACTTTCCTTCTCAGTGCTGTTTACAAAGGAACTAAACGTTAACGGTTAACTGGTCTGATCACAGCCAAGCAGATCAGCAGCCCTGTTAGATCATTGCTCAGGTGATCTCTGCAAACCTCCGGTTTACAGTTTAATCTTAAATCTCGGGTGTAAATCTTAAAAGGACTTTCTAACTAGAAGGCTTTGTTCCCTTGTGGTGGAGGGAACAAACCATTATTAAAAACATCAGTGCATCTAAGGGCTACAACCCAGGAAAATTCACTTATGTCAATATGAATTTTTCCTCCACTCTGTTTGCCTTCCTGACTTACTGCTTGTTTTGTTGGTGAAGGTTTCATCTGAGTGATTTAAAGCATCACATTGTGTATAAAAGTTATAAAGTACAGTAAAGTGGTGTTTAGATGTCATAGCCTCAATTATTTGACTTAGCTAATAAATTACTAATTAAGCAATTGAAACGAGCAGAGTGATGCCAAGTAAAAGTTATGTGGACACCTCCCCACACCACATTGTGTTGCGAGGTGGGGCAATTGTTTATTGGGCTGGCTATGGAACATCCTAGATATGTCTGATGGGACTAATGTGCTAGTAGGGTAGGATGTCATCGGGGATTGTAGTTGCCATGGATGGGTGTAATTGGTTTGCAACAATGTTAATGTGAGTGGTCTTTTTAAAGTAACATAAATGCTTGGAGACAAAGCAGAACACTGCAATGACTGTTTGCGGTTTTAATGTGATGGCTGACAGGTGTATTGAATTTCTGGTGTGTGTGCCTTAACACAGTGTTCCTTTTTACCTGCTGGTGGGACTGATGAAGGTGAAGGAGATGAGCTGGTTCCAGAAAGGGTCATTCTCCGATATGGACTCTGTGCCCACCAGGGCCTTGAGGCTGGGATTATCGGACAGGTCACTGACCTGACTGGTGTTGGCTCCCATCTTTGCTGGCTGTGCTCAGCCAGACTCGCTGCTCTTCACTGCTTTTTCACCAGGCATATGCCAAAACCTGGGACAAAGAAAATGCTTTAATCTTTGGAGGCACAAACAATAAACAACTGGGCTTCAAATTAACTACAGAGTTAGCAAGTTCATTAAGGTTAATGTGAGAATGAATGAGCTTCTGCTTACATTTATACATCTCCTACACTCAGATCTAAATAGGAATAGACAGAGGCCATCCTTGTCGCTTTGGGCTTTAAGAAACAAGGGCACCAGGGGTGCCAGGGATGACTGTGGTTCAATTGGATAGGTTCGATCCCTGGCTACTGCAGGGTGCATGGGGAAGACACTGAACCCAGAGTTGCATTCACTGGAGTGTAAATGTTTGATTAAAAGCACTTAGACATATAAAATGTGCTTGTATGAATATGTGTGAGTGTGTCTGTGTGTAAAGTTGTGATGACACGTGCTGTATAAAGTGCTCTCAGAGCTTAAGCGCAAGAGTGCTATATACAAGTGAGAGCCAGTCTATATACACTCCTGGTTCTTCAGGTTCGTGCATTACAAAAACTGTAAAACAGATCTCACCAACTCAAACACAAACTCATCCTTGAAAGCCAAAGTTCACAGCATCACAGCAGGACGACACACACTGAACCAGGACATGGCTTTTGTTTTTTTTTCTAAGGACACACCTTAGACACACAGGTGTAGTCAGCATAAGTGAAGTGGAGTACAGTATTTACAATATTTGCAGTGCTAAACCATAAAGGACAATTTTTCTTTCTCCAGCAAGAGCTAAAATTACGTTTTCATATTCATTATATTATTTCAACATTTACTTTAAATGACACTGTTTAAATATTTTTTTTTAAATCTACTTGCACGACGTTAGCTTGACCATACTGATTTCAAGCGCAGGAAATAGCCTGCAGCTTAGCAGTTTTCACAGTAAACAATATAAACTCAAAGTCCCACATAAGAATGAAACAGGCGCTAATAAATTTCTCATTGAGGAGTGCTTTGGTTTAGCCAGTGGTTAATAACGCATATACAGAGAGCAGCCAGCTGACCGCTCAGCTTACCTGTCATAAACGCTTCTCTCAGCTCTCCGCGGCTCTGCCGATTCCCACGACCGTTCAGGGGCGACTACTGTTTTTTAAAGTGACCTGAAGTTTAGTCCAGTTGATTTATTAAGTACGAATGACAAAGGAAAGGGTCTGAAATTGTTTTGTAATTCAGACAGTTAAGTTTACTCTACATACTCCTTTCCTCCATGTTTTCCACGTAGCCACCCTGTGCGTAATGACGACATATGGGCGTTTACTACATCTTCTTCGTGTGTTCGTCTGGTTGGAAGCTATAGAACTGCTGCCCTCTATTTTTATAACTTCTCTATTTTACATTTTTTTAATAACTAGTGCATGCCCATGCTATCGCATTGTTTCGGCTGTTCGCAAACTAACAGCAAAATATATATTAATAACATAAGATTAAAAAAAATAATAGTGGCAGTACATGTTGTTTATATGTTTTTTAAAAAAAAACAAAACTTTTATTTTAGGCTATTGCTAGGTGATTTTAAGCATATATATTTAGAATTATGGGGTGTCCTGAGGCATCTTGGAAAATTGGCAGCCCGGTCAGCATCATGGTGAACGTGTTTGAATAAGGGGAAGCCAAGTTACACAACAGAACATATGCAGACACAGTAACAAGTCAAGCAGTGAGGCGGTGGAGAGGGTGAGCAGTTTTAAATTCTTGGGGGTAACTGTGACCGAGGACCTGTCCTGGGGCAACCATATCACCTCAGTTGCACGGAA